ATTTGTCCTTTTGTGACTGACTTATTTCACTCAGCATAATGTCCTCCAAGTTCATCCACGTTATGCGGTGTTTTGCAGATTCTACATTATTCTTTAGCGTGCTGTAACCATTTTTGAACTGTCTTCAGCAAAATTTCACTTGTGTGTGATATTAATGGTATTGTTTTAATAATTCCCACATTCTGATGGATCATCTTTCTTTGGAATTGGCACTAATACTGATCTTTTCCAGTCAGTTGGCCAGGTAGCCATCTTCCAAATTTCTTGGCATAAATAACTAAGAGCATGCGACTCCACATCCATTTGTTGAAACATCTCAATAGGCATTTCATCAATTCCTGGATCCTTGTTTTTTGCCAATTCCTTCAGTGCAGCCTAGACTTCTTCCTTTAGTGGCATGGATTCTTGATCATATGCTACCTCCTGAAATAGTTGGACATCAACCAATTCTTTTTTGTGCAGTGACTGTGTATTCCTCCCATCGTCTTTTGATGTTTTTTGCATTGTTCAATATTTTGCCCATAAAACCAAAGCCAAACTCACTGCCATAGAGTTGATTCTGACTCATAGTAACCCCCTTGGATTTCTAAGGCAGTAAATTTTTATGGCTGTAGATTGCCCAGTCTTCCTTCCACAGAGTGGCTGGTGGGTTTTGAAACACCAACCTTGTGGTTAGCAGTCAAATGCCTTAGGGACTAACACCACCAGAGCTTCTTATTTTGCCCACAGAATCCTTCTATATTTCAACTCAAGGCTTGAATTTTTTCTTCAGTTCTGTCAGCATGAGAAATGCTGAGTGTTCTTCCCTTCTTTACTTATCATAGGTTCCAAAATAAATCATCCTTATTGATTTCAGAGATTAACTGAAATACAGGTAAGTAAGACACAAGCTCAAAACCTCCTAACTTTCTGTTTCATGTCACTTTTGCAATTTTATTAGCTCTGTAGCCTAATTCAAGTTGTTTCCTTTCTCTTCTTTGCTTTCCTATAATGAAAATACTTTTAGCAAAGACTGAAATGATAAACATGGAGACATGCCAAAGAGAAAGATAAGAGACTTGTAAAAGCAAAGTACAATGGAAAAAACAGAGTTGACAGTTATGAGGGAGGGAGAAAGTTTCAAGATGAGCTAAGAGAGGAAAGTCAGAATTATAAAATGCCATGTTATCAATACTTGATTTTATCCAAAAAGCAACAAGAGTCTCTTGAAGGTTTTTAAGCAGCAGCGTGATATGATCATACACTCATTTTAAAAAGAGTTCTTTAGTTACAGCATAGTGAATATGGTGGAGAGAGGCAAAGGTAAAGGATGGAGATAAGGTGGAAGACAACTGTGACAGACAGGAAGAGAGATGGTAGTGGCTTAGATTAGTGTGATAACAATGAGGAAAGACAGAGGTACAGAAATTCCAGAGATACTTCAGATACAAAGTGTGGAGGGAGAGGAAAGAATGACATTCAGATTTCTGGGATAAGCAACTGGATGGAGAATAATGTCAGTTAAGTGCATGAGGTCTGGAGTCAGAATGCCTGAGTTTAATGCTAGTCCTGACACTTAGCTTGTACCACTAATTTCCAATGTATATATTTTTTTCTGAATAGCTTACCTTGTTGCCCACCTAAAAGTCTTTCTACTCCTTTGATTAATTTGTGGCGGTGTCCATAGGCATTGATGCCTATTTCTTTTAACTCTTCATGACCCATATCAGCTAATACATCTAATGTGATCTGAAAAATAAAATAAAAAGAGTTCCAGAGGACATGAGCTCTCCCATTTGTCTATGATGCTATAATTTCACTCAAATTAAGAAAATTCTTTTATTTCTGTTATAAACATGAACTTACAATCTTCTTCAAGTTGCCTTAATAAAAATCTCATCAGCTTTTTGCTCACTCAAAATACTAATTATTTTGCTTTTTAACCAATTAAAAATTTAAAAAGGAGAAACAATGTTATATAAATACAAAATGATCATTGCTGTATTTCCCATTTACTTTTTACTATTTAATTCTACTACCTTCTGCTTGCCTCAAGATATAAGAAAGAACAATCAGTAGCTTAAAAGCGGGAAACACCAGAGCTCAGTTTGCAGCAGGTAGTGGAGAAGAATGGTAGGAAAAAGGGAGAAGTGTTTTAACACCATTAAAAACAATGTGGTCAAAGGAGTGCACAGTTTTAGGCAAGTAGATTTTAGATAAAGAGAAAACTTCCCAATGCTAAGCAATATTCAAGCATGGAATAGGCTGTCCTATAAAGTAGTGATATACATATTACAAGTATTTATAGCTAGATTACAGATCGTTTTATAGAGAAACTATATAAAGTATTCCAATTTGGAGAAGAAAACAGAGTAAACGGATTTTAAATTCTCAGATTTTACAACCCCTGTTGCATAACATACATTCTACTTTTGTACAAAATTGTGGTTTTAAATTCTTGGTTATTCACCCCTGGAGATACGATTAGTTGGCTACGACCATGACTCAAAATAATCTAATTCCTTCATGGAATAAGATTGACTATGACTCTAGCACCACCCAGTGGCAGTGTTCTGAACATTGAGGCCTGAACATGAAATTTTCTGGCCCAGAAAAGACTGGTCAGAAATCCAAGTACTAGTCCACAAGATAGGAGCTCTGGTGGCGTAGTGCCCAAGGCACTTGGCTGCTAACCAGAAGGCTGGTGGTTCAAAGCCACCATTCACTCCTCGGAAGGAAGATGGGGTAATCTACTTCCGTAGTGATACTGCCTCGGAAACCCAAGGACGGGTCACTGAGTCAGCTCCCTCTCGATGGCACACAACAACAACAACAACAACAACAACCGTCCATAAGATACACCTTTGCTTTCTTTTTCCTTGGAAAACTCAACTTCTTTCTGACTCAAACTAGCTATTTTTATCTATCTATAAAACTCATTCTACTTTTATACCTGTACATAACATTTTGAAAACTGACTAATTCGGAGCTCTGATTCTTATTTTCAGAATGAAATACCATACAGTAAGTCTGATATCAGTGAGCACAATGAGAATCCATTATACATTTTTTGGAAATTATTTACTATATTGCCTGTGTGGCCATTTAAGAAATAATTGGTCCACTGGAAAAAAAAAATGGCCAATTCATATCTAATCACTCAAAGGAAGTTTTTAACAGAACTTTCAAAAAGATACATACAGTTCTGAAATACATATATTTGAGACAGAATTGTTCACAAAATAATAGGTGCCTTTACATTTTTTAGCTAGAAGTGGTTTAAATGCAATTTGGAAACCATGTGAGTTGGAACTGACTCACTGGCAACAGGTCATATACCAAGCATAGTAGAAAACAAACAAACAAAAACCCAAACCAAACTCACTGTCATTAAGTTGATTTTTACTCATAGTGACCCCGATTGGGTTTGTTTCCAAAGTTGTAAATCTTTACAGAAGTAGACTGCCTCAACTTCCTCCCATGAAGCAGCTGGGGGGTTTGAACCGCTGACCTTCTGGTGAGCAGCCAAATGTCTTCTTACCCACTATGCCCCCAGAGTTCCTTAGCATAGTATAAAGCACCTTATTAACACCATTACCTCATTTAATCCTCACAATGACCCATGAAGCACCACTAATATTCTTATGAGGAAAACAAAGCTCAGAGAAATCCTGACAATAGCACACAGAAGAACTGAGACTCCTGTCTTTCTCCTGCTTATATTTCTTTAAAAAATTGACCAGAAAGCAAAAGTAACTAAATATTAAGTTATGTTGCTTTGAATTACATGGTGTTCAATTTGTTCCCATAATTAACAGGCAGTGACCACTGGAAAACCTTAAATGTCAAGCTAAGAATTTAGATATATGTTCATTCGCTCATTTACTGATTCATAAAAAAAAATGCTTAATGATCACCATCATGTATGTCTGTATGTCTGTATTTAAATATATATGTATATCTATATCTGTCTTCAAATATATATGGATGTGTGTGTATGCGCACACACACACACACACACACATAACCACACGGGAGCTCTGGTGGTGTAGTGCCTAAGGAATCTGACTGCTAATCAGAAGACTGGCAGTTCAAATCCACCAGCCACTCCTCAGAAGAAAGAGTGGGCAATCTACTTCCATAGAGATACTGCCTCGGAAACCCAAGGAGGGGTTGCTATGAATTGGAACCGACTGAACGGCAGTGAGTTTGGTTTGGTTTATATGTTTGTGTGTGTCTGTATGTGTATAATATACATACATACATATATACACACACACACACAAACATATATATATATATATGTATATATATATATATACACATACACACACACACACAAAATTTAAGTCTAAAAAGAAAGCTCACTATAGGTCAGAAACATAAATAATCGATTCAAATTACAGGTAGTAAAAGGTGATATGAAGTGCTGTTGTTAGGTGCAGTTGAGTCACCTCCAACCCATAGCAACCCTATGTACAACAGAACGAAACACTGCCCAGTCCTGTGCCAGCCTCACTATTCTTACTATACTGGAGCCAATTGTTGCAGCCACTGTCAGTCCATCTCACTGAAGGCTTTCCCTTTTTTCGCTGACCCTTCACTGTACCAAGTGTGATATCCTTCTCCAGGGAATGGTCCCTTCTGACAACACAACCCAAGTAGGTGAGATGACGTCTGGCCATTCTTGCTTCCAAGGAAGATTCCAGCTGCACTTCCTCTAGGACAGATTTCTTAGTTGTTTTAGCAGTCTATAGTACTTTCAGCATTGTTTGCCAGCACCACAATTCAAAAGCATCAACTCTTCTTTAGTCTTCCTTATTCACTGTCCAGCTCTCACATGCATATGAGGCAAGTGAGAATACCATGGCTTGGGTAAGGCACACCTTAGTCTTCAAGGAGACATCTTTGCTCTTCAGCACTTGAAAGAGGTCTTTTGCAGCAGATTTAGCCAATGATACACGACATCTGATACGTGGCTGCTGCTTCTATTGGCGTTGATTGTAGAACCAACTAATAGGAAGTCTTTGACAACTTCAATCTTTTCACCATTTATTGTGATGCTGCTTATTGGTCCTGTTGTGAGGATTTTTGTTTTCTTTATATTGCGGTGTAATCAACAATGTACAGTGTAGTCTTTAATCTTCATCAGTAAGTGCTTCAAGTCATCCTCACTTTCAGCAAGCAAAGTTGTGTCGTCTGTGTATTGTTGTTGTTAAGTGCCGTCGAGTTGTTTCCGACTCATAGCGACCCCATGCACAGCAGAACGAAACACTGCCCGATCCTGCGCCAGCCCCACAAACCCTGCTATACTTGAGCCCATCATCGCAGCCACCATTATCAATCCATCTCCTTGAAGGCCTCGCCCTCTTTTGTCGACCCTCCACCCTACCAAGCATGACATCCTTCTCCAGGGAATGGTCCCTTCTGACAACATGACCAAAATAGGTGAGACGAAG